TCAAGAGTTGGACGCTTAACTGACCAAGCCACCCAGGTGCCCCCAAAATGTTTCTTGAATGATTTTAGGGTTATATGTGTATGTATGTACATATATAGATATATATACTATATAAAATATAGCATATATAAAATATATTTATATTAAGATATGTATACCATGAGACCTTTCAAGGATATGTATTTCTCAAAAAGCTGGATACAACAAAGTCATTAAAAAATAACAAAAAGGGAACAAGGAGAGTTAACTAGACATAATAATCATACTAGAAAAGGAAAGGTAAGGTAAATTGAGGTAACGCCCTAGCTTTGGGCTCTCTGGCTCTGCAGGCAATAGGGCAGTGAATTATACAGCTTTTATTCTCTAGTAAGTAACTCTGTAATGTTTAGTACTGGATGTAAATGGCTTTCTTGTCCAATTTTGAATGCACTGAATTAAACAAAGATACTGTGTATGTCAACAAAGAAGTTCAGTGAACAAAACAGCAATGTCTATAAGAAGTAATTTAGAACAATGTGGAAGTCACCAGACTGGTTTTATCAATGTTAACCTAAGTACGCCATTTGCCCAACACAGCACGCTGTTCCTACTCTTGCCTACAGCCCATACAAATAATGCCAAGCTCTGATTTAATACATCTATTTGCAAGCAACAAGTGCTATAAAAGTAGAAAATACCTGGATTTGAGAGATAAGGGGTTTCTTTTGAAGTATATCCAACAATTCCCACAACTTCATCCCCAACAGGAAGAATTTTATATGGCAAATAAAGTCCTGATATTTGAGATGCTAGTGGCCCCTTGGCTTTAATATTTGCACTCAGAATTGGAAATCTGGCCTCTTTGAGGAGTGGATCAATCAGTCCTTCTACGCCATTATCAAATTCGTGATTTCCCAGTGCCTAGTAGAAAGGGAAAAGAGAACAAGAATTAGGTACTCTGGAATTTCTGCAAAAACAAAAATATACTGTAAAGAATACTAAATTAGCCCAGTGGCTCCCAAACCTGATAGGGTTCTAGGAGGCTGATGGCATGACCTCTGTCGTCCTCACAACAGGAGATTTTACTCAGTGACCCTGGCGCTGGGCCCATGGACACACAGATCATCAGGTTCATTTGAGAACTGCTTCCCACATCCCACAGCACCTACTGAAGGTGGCATCAGTCCATGTAAGAGTCACTTGCAACGCTGTCCCTGCTGTCCTCAGATGTGGGGCAAGTTGGAGAGTCTGCCATTTCCTAAGCTCTGCCCAGGCTTTGCAGGTTGGTTTCTCTCATAAACCCACATTTCAACCCCCCCATGCAATTGTTTCAACATCCCATCTGCTAGGAGAACCATTAAAGTCAACAGGACTTTAGCAAAAGGCGACTGGAAATGTATTGTTGGTAGAGATGCCAGTGACCTCCCCTCCTCTGGTGTCCACATCGTCTCGGTCATTTCTCCTTTATGTTCCCACAACGATGTCTTCCCAAGGGTTGTGTGGTCCTCTAATTCTTTGGGGAAAATGAAGATCCCCCAAGGTAACAGGAGATGGCATTCTCTGCATTTTGCAGGGGGGCACGGGTTTCCTCCTTCGGGCAGCTCTGGGCCGTCATGGGTTTCATTCCCGGCAGCTTCGCGTCCCAGGAAATCAAGATGGTGAAATGTTCACCGACCTTCAGGGCATTGTTAACCCACTCGGAACGCAGGACTTGGTGGGGAGCTGGCATGGTTTACAGACAGCCTCACCTCCCACCTTCTTTGCTCTCTCCCATTCCTCACTGCTCTGGGAGTGGCTACTGGGTGCAAAACAACCTCTTTGACATCTGGCAGCTTCCCCCAGAGTAATACTGACAAAACACGCATTCCAGCCACCTCCTCTGAAAAACCCTCCGCCCCTTTCTCCCTTGGCCCTAGCATAAGCCCATGTCCCCCAGGCACCTACCTTCCTGTGCTGGCTGCAAGGCTGTTTTGCTAACTTAGTACTTAAACTAGTGAATCTCAAACTCTCCCACGGCACGCCTGATTTTGCTTCACTTTGCCATTCATCTGGGAATAGACCTGAAAGTGCTGACTGGTGACCTCTCAACCCAGATTAGGGCCCTCCTGCATTCTCTTACAGGCCCCACTCCTTTCCTTCCTAGCACACTGCATACCCCAATGGCATGTTCAGCATGTCCGCCAGACTGTGTGCTCCCTGAGCCACCATGTCCTGCTGTCCTCACCCTGCTCGGCGCTGCAGCCCTTCTCCACCCACACAGGTGCCCCTCTGAACATCTGTGGCTCAAAGAATTGTGTGTTTATGTCCTCATGCATATGTTTATACAGAGCAATACAATGTCTTCACATTCCCACACACCTGTCTCCCTAATGAAAGTCAGAATTTCTGAATTTGCCTCCTCCCCCACCTCCTCCCCCACCTCGGAGTATCCATCTTTACTTCTTCCTCTTAACTAATGATTTCTCTCTTAAAGGCTGACCTAAGTCTTAAAGGACCTCCCAGCCTTGGGTAATCATCTTTTTATCATCTATTTGTTATTTATTATTTTTAATGTTTATTTTTGAGAGAGAGACAGAGTGCGAGCAGGGGAGGGGCAGAGAGAGGGACACACAGAATCTGAAGTAGGCTCCAGACTCTGAGCTGTCAGCACAGAGTCGATGCGGGGCCCAAACCCACGAACCACCATGAGATCATGACCTGAGCCAAAGTCAAATGCTTAACCAACCGAGCCACCCAGGTGCCCCCTTTTTATCTTCTCTTTAGAACACCATGATTTCTTCCTGTGGTGAAATCAGTCTCTTTTATGAGATTACAATTAACTATCTTGCTTAATTGTAAAGTCTTACAAAGTGAATAATTCTATCATTCTTCATGGAGGATTATCCAATGTGTCAGTCACCTTGCAGTTTACCAACAGCAATATATTGGTACCATTTGGCAATGGTTGGAGTTACCTTTTTCATTTATTTGTGGTTGTCTCCTTGCATGGTTGTCAACCTCGCATGGTTGTCTCCCACTTTAACGGGTGGTGGGTGTCAGAAATAAAGTCTTGAAGACAAGACCAGGTCTCAGAGAACCTTATGGCTCAAAGAGCTCAGGAATGTTGAGTTTTATCACAAGAGCAGCGAAGAGTCCCTGTAGGACCTTAAAGTCGAGATTGACAAGATAAGCTTTGCATTTTAGAAAGATTATTCTGGCAGCACTATGTTGAATGGTTTAGAGAAGGGAATGGCACCAGCGGAAAGCCAGTGTGGGAGCTGATGCAGTGATCCAAGAGGGAACAGTGAGGACTGCATGCAGGGGAATGGATGGAACCAAAACATTGAGGCAAAGGTGGGATACTGGTTGTGGTGGGGTGG